CCATTAACACAAATTATGCAGTTGAGTTCCCCACATTTGGGGAAATCAGAAGGATCAGCACACCCGAAGTGCAAAGGATGAGCCTCACCCTGGGAAAACCACTTTTATGACATGGTATTTCCCCTACAAGGTATGAGTTGGAATGGCCCTTGCACCTCCTACCCCCTTCTGTCCCCTAATCCCCAAAGGCATGGTGACCCCCTGGCTGCACTTCCCATTCAGTACAAGGCCGCACAGCCCAAGTTCTGCCAGAGGCCAAGAGAACTCCTCAGTGTTTTGGGGTGCCCAGTCTGTTTCCCCAAAAATAAGACCGGGTCTTATATTAATTTTTGCTCCAAAAACACATTAGGGCTTATTTTCAGGGGATGTATATTCAAATACAGTCATGTCATCTTTTGGTTGCTGCAGAATGGTGGAGGGCAGGGTTTCACTTAACTGGGGCTTATTTTTTGGGGTAGGGCTTATATTAAGAACATCCTGAAAAATCATACTAGGGCTTATTTTCAGGTTAGGTCTTATTTTAGGGGAAACGGTATTGTTCTAATTGTCTGCTATGACTAATGAAAACAATAAAGTTGCTGCATAAAATATAGACAGTGTTGGGCAGTTGTGAGAATAAACTAATTTAAAATACATAGTGTGTACAGTAAAATGTCCCAGATGTTTTAACATTACTGCAAAAAGAGCTGCCTTCTTAGGAACATTTATTTGGGGTATTTGATCATGGTCCTTCATATGAATATACCTTGGGGTAGCTAACAGTATGGGACGTGGTGGCGCTGCGGGTTAATTCCTTTTGGGTGGGATTCAGAAGTTCACCCACCGTTATGTCTTCTTCTTCCCGCATCTCCCCCATTTCAGGTCCCAATTCATCGTCGGCCTCCCCATCGAAGAAGCATTCACGGTCTACCCATGCTTTTAGTAGATTCACATGGAAAACCTGTCTCTTCCTTTTTCTATCCGGGGTTTCTACTTCATAGTCTACCTCACTAACTCGCCTTAGTACCGGCGTTCTGTCTAGTCGTGCTGGCCATGTGACCACAGAAACCGTCTTCGGACGAACGCTGGCTCTATGGCTTGGAAACATGGATGAGCACCGCCCCCTAGAGTCGGACATGACTGGACTAAATGTCAAGGGGAACCTTTACCTTTACCTAAGCTAACAATAAGAGATTGCAATTAAATACAATTATATTATTCAAATACAAGAAATACACAGACGTAGGGGTCTACAGAGCAGCCATAAATAAATATACACTGAAGACCTATGCATTCAGATAAACCTATGACATGATTCAGTCATCTTTTTGGTATTAGGTAAAGGTAAAGGTTCCCCTTGACATTTAGTCCAGTCATGTCCGACTCTAGGGGGCGGTGCTC